TAACCATAAAATCGCTTCATTTTTATATAAAACACACGTTTATGCACGCAACTGCGGAGAGAGGAAGCGAAAAGGAGAAGAAGAGCACACGAAGAACAACGGAAAAGGTAAAGCAAAGATTGTCAGGATAGAAGACAAACAGTTATGAAACAAGGAATGTCAAGCGAGGATTACAACATCGTACATGTACAATTAATTTAATCACAAAGTGAAATTGGATAGGGATATAAACTAAACTCAACTGGAAATGTGGCACCTAGGAACTTTATTATTTTTTATAAAATGAAAGAGCTTATCTTATATGTGTTTCTTCATATAAACACTAGGTTATTGGTTGAGTCTTTTTCATTAGAATAAGAATAAATCTTTTCTTTCAATGTTTTTAAAGAAGCAAGTACCATTCATTACAAGCATCTATTTCAATCATAATGTTGCAAGTTTTATTGAAAAGAAAAAGCTTGAATCATAAAAATAATCTATCTAACAATTTCGAGCTTAAATTTCCATTCATATTGATCTATTCAAGGGCTGTTCAGAATTCCCTTAACGTCAAATAAGCTACAGAAAAGGCACTGCGAATACAATCTATTGTACTTGAAATATTTACTACCATTATTATTAATTTAAACGTGAAGTCCCTTGTATAGAAAAAGGTCCACGTAACAGATAAATTGAAAAGTTCTGCGACGTGAAGAGTGGCAATCTATATTATAGGCTTTACAAAGACGAGTTTATGATCATTATCAAGAAAATACGTGTCAAAATCCCGAGGGTGTGGAATGTGGATGCAAGTCTTCTGTTCTTCGGTAGCCACACCCCATAACCATATCCACATCCCACATCAATCCACACCCACACCCTTTATCATATTCATAGATTTTGTCACCACAACTAAATGGCCAAAAATCACTAAGTTCATATAATAAGCCTGGATATTTGAATCATTCAAATACTTTTTCAATCAAAACAAAAAATCATATAGGTAATAGGAATCAATAGGCAGAGTTAGGTTTGTGAAGACGTAAAACGCTGAAAATTATATATAATAAAATCAAGATAAAAGATCAACTGAATATAACTGATCCGCGTGTACATATAATCAATCGAATAGAGTATGACAAGAAGTAGTAGTTAAAAATAACACCATTAGTTATTCTTTTCATAGATAACAATCAGAATATTTTGCAAAAACTATCTTGAGAGGCTGAATAAAGAAAAGATAATCAATCAGCCATGCTCTCTCACACCCACACTCTTTCATCAACAAAACAAAAAGACAAAACCCAATCAAATGGTTTCAAATATAATGAGAAAATAAATCATTTAATTCGATCATCTTGCTGTTGTAATAGTTTTCCAACTGCGCAAGAAATGTTATCATAGCAGAGATATAGTATCTGGACTGTCTGCATGTAGACAAAAGAGAAACTTAACATAAACGATGTGAGAACGAGTGTTACTGTGTTATTTATCAAAGCTGCAATTATATGTTGTATCCCCGTCTCTCCGATTTTATTTGATCGAAGGTCCAGTTTTGTGAGTATCTTTGTATAAAGCAAAATATATGCATATATGAGAGAGATGAAGAGACAACGAGCCTTACTGTATTATGTCGCAAGATATCAGCCACATATCTTGCTCCTTCATCTCCGATTTGATTTCCGTTGAGGTCTAGTTCAGTTAGTGTCTATGTGTAGAGAAAGTGAATATCATATAGATGAAAAGAGAACGAATGTCACTGTATTTTTTTGTAATGCATCAGCGATAGATAGTGTTCCAGTAGCGCCGATGTGGCTGTAGCTAAGATCCAACATAACGAGTGTTTATGCATCGAGAGAATACATATGGGAAAGAGCAAGAGAAAATGACGTTCATCTGATTATATCGTAACGCATTAGCGAGATATTGTACCCCATCGTCTATGATTGGATTGCCGCCAAGTGTCACTGTAATGAGTACCTATATGCTGAGGAAAAAATGAAAATTAGACATACGAAGAGAAAATTATAATTATCGTGTGGCTTCGTAAGACATCAGCTATATATTGTACTCCCCTGTTTCCGATATTATTGCACCGAAGGTCTATTGTGATAAGTGTCTTTAAGTAGACGAGAGAAATTGAGTATGAGACAAGTGCAGAGAGAATGAACATCACTTTATTATTTCCTAAGACATCAGCAACATATGACACTTCTTCGTCTCCAATTCGATTATAGCTAAGATCCAGTATAGTGAGCGTCTGTATGTAGACAAGAAGATGTATGTTAAAAAGAAGAGTAAGAAATAAATGTCACTGTGTTATTTCTTAAGGCATCGCCAAGATGTTGTATCCCCCTATCTTCGATGTTATTGACACGAAGTTCCAGAGTAGAGAGTGTCTATGTATAGCAGAAAATATGCTGATGACGGATGAACAGAGAATGATAGTCACTGCATTATAGATTAAGGCATCAGATAGATGCTTCACGCCGTTATCTCCAATACCATTAGCGCCATGATACAGCGTAGTGAGGGTCTATATGTAGAACAAAGATAGAAATAACTGTAATGAACAATGAATGAGTATTACCGTATTATATCGTAGCACATCAGCGATATATAGTGTCCCTTCGTCTCCAATCAAGTTACTCCCAATGTTCAGAGTAGTAAGTATCTACATATAGAAGCAAAAGATGGATAAGAATGTCATGAAGAGAGAATGAAGATCACCGTGTTATATCGTAAGGCGCCAGCAAGATGTTGTGCTCCACTAGAGGGTGTGGGTGTGGGTGTTGGTGTGAGTGTGGATGTGGATGTGGATGTAGTTGCAGGTTTGTGAAACATGCCCACACCGACACACTCACGCCCACACCCTTATATATAGACTTCAATAGCATATCTAATAAGGGAGAACTATCAAATATAAATACAAAGGGCGAGAGCGAAAGCATAAGATCAAATTTAACATTGATCGTTTAGTGTTCAGATCCAGTTGAAATGTGTGATACACTGCTAAAAAATGAATCCTTTTGTTGTGATAAATCCAATAGATCTGAAGAAATTCAATTCTGACATCGCTTCATTTGCACAGAGCTCCACATGAAGCGATAGACAAAATATATCTGCATATAACAAACCAATCGAGGTCAACTTCATTGATTACTTGTGTTATTTGAGAGATCTTTCTCACTGGAAGAGTTAGTGAAGTCTTTATTAAATTGTTTGAAGAAAATGTTGTACTCGACTTTTTACTATTGAAATATTTTGATGATATGCGATTTATTTAACCCTCTATGCATGATAGGATCTAAACGGATATGGTACTGATTACAAATAAAACTCATTATGAAGAATGGAAGCAAAGCACATAAAACTATGATCAAAGATAACATGAGCCATGAGCGATGGTTTGCAGAGTCGAACTACCTTTGGTTTGCGAGCAGAATGCATAGGCTATTGATGAAGCAGTAGCTTGAGACGTGTAGAATAGAACAGGATTATACAAACATGGTGTTGTGGGCGGAAAAGCTCGAACGCGGTTCTAATTCTCGAGAAACAAACACAGTACCGCTTTACCATTCTTCCCTGCTATTGAAATATTTCTTATGCATATTCCGATAGAACTTTTACGTCATCCTTTGTCATCTGCAGAAAAATATTCATGCTAATTTTTTTAAAATTTTATTATCAAATAAATGAAAATGAACATATTTCAATATTTACCTAGAGAAAATTAGTAAAAGCAAAATGTCTAAATATGATCAATGTTGTCCTAACACCAGATGTGCATCATTTCAGAAGAGCATCGTAATCGATAAGGTCGACTAAATGGAGATCAATTTAATTGTTGCCAGATTAAATATCGTACAATTTTTCTTAGACATATCGATACGTTTTTAAGACGTTAGATATTTTTTTGATATATAACGCTTTAAAATGTGTACTTTTCATCGTTCAGAAATCGTTTCACAATTTAAGCATGTTTTATTTTACACGTTTGAGCTTTTTAATGAAGTGAATGTGTTTAAAGAAAAAGCGACAATACTATAGTTCAAGCTTCTTTGAGATATTGTCATAATGATTTCAACTTTGTTTCCATCAAGGCATATTATCATGTTCCTGAAACGTTAGTGCTTGTTCCAAACTATTCAAGTCGTAACATAAAACATTGCTGAAGAAATATTTGACTGTGAACGTTGAGACGCAATATGGATAATAAAATAGAAGTCTTGATATATGAAGCCATTGTTTGGTATTATCACGGGGTCATATTCAACACATAGTGAGTCAACACCATCAGATTCAGGGAATTATCACGATACTAAAGTAGATATTATTGAAGAAGCCTATAAGCAATGCCAAAAAAAATTTCTATTCGATAGATATCATTTTGAACTGCGAAAATTTATTCAAGTAAGACTTGACGATGATATTAAGCAGCCTCTATCAACAGATGAAATACATAAATTGTGTGAATATTTTTACAGAAATATATAGCCTAACGAAGCACCATATATTACGATAGATACAATATTCGAAAAGATTTCTAAGTTCTAGAAACCTTATCAAACATATAATATTGCAGAAACATTGGTAATCGAAGATTTTATTGATGATATTTGAGTTTGTTTTATCTTACATTCGAACATCTATGAAAGTGTATCTTTAAAAAATGGCAAAAATATTTTGAAAAAAGAAGAATTCTTTATCAGAAGCATGCTGAGCATCCTGATGACGAGTATGGCAAATGAGCATGTGCAAGTTGCTTTGTTCGCGCAATGTCTGTATTCGTATGTGATCCTCTCTGAATTGATGAGACGGGTGTGGGCTAAGAGATTATTAACATCCACACCCTCACATTTACATTCTTTCTATTAGTGACAAATGTGATACAAGCATAATTTGTTTTCGACAATAATATAAATTTATCAAATTTAAATGAACGCATTTCATGTTTATTTTGAAAAAAAAACGAAAGAATAACTTATTCTGAATTATAATAATACTTCGAATGCGAAAGTTTATATATCAATATTAGCAATACGGTAAACGAGTTCCTCGAAGTTATAACGAATGTTCTTTGTTGTTAGTGTTGATGGTATTGTCATAGTGTCTGTTAATTCTTGATAATTAATTAAATCAGGTGTCAAAGTCATAACACAATGTGCAAACCAATTATATGACTTAACAACTAAACATCCTTCATGTTGTAACTATGATAATAGGGGGTAAAATAAAGTAAAAAATAACAAAAAATACAGTATTATAAACGTACAAGTGCTGCTAAACCTCGATCAGAGGTTACAATGATTGTACGTTTATTTTTTTCACGATTTTCAGGTTGTCGTGAGATTTCAACTAACATATCATCAGTTGTTCGATATTTTGGTTGAGCACTTGAAATTTTAACTGTCCCAATTTGATCTAATTGATGTGTTGAATCAAAGATAAGTTCAACATCTGGTATATGCATTTGTTCATTCCATGCGGAAGCTATTTCTCCTAAAGCACGTTCAGTTTTTTTACTAGAACGATTTAAACATAAACGACGAAGAGAATCAACAACAAACATCATATTATTTCCATCTAAATAAACTTGCTCGATATCACGTGGCCAATCATCACGGTTATTTATTTTTATATAACCATTTTCAGCTTCAGCTAATATGTTACGTTGCTAAACAAAAGTCAAATGAATTTAATTGTTTTTTTTGTTCATGTTTAAAATTGAGTCTTACTAATTTTCGTTCATCTCGACATTGGTGACGTTGTTCTCGTTCTTGTTGAATTCGAGCAACTGTCATTTCAATTGATTCATTACATTCATGAAAGGTTGCTAATACTTTCATTGGATTTCCATTTACACCAGCTGAACGAAGTCGTTTAAGATTCTCAATATCATCAACACTTAGTTTCTGTTGTTTTCTCAATGTTGATCCTGTTTCATCAGTTCCTTGTGCTTCATTGTGATGTTTATCTCGATCTTCTCTTCTTCTTTCTTTTCTTTCTTTTAAACGTTGTTTAACAACATCAACTTGTCCATCAGTTTTTTCTAATAAATGTATTAAAATTCGTTTATTTTCAGTTATTGTACCATCAGTTTCAAGTTGCGCAATTTGATTTGCATATTTTGCCTGAAGTTCTGTTATTTTTTCCTTCTGTGCTGTATGCCGTGACATTCTTTCCATAACCTATTATTATATTAAAATATTCAATCATGAATCGTTGTATTCTTCAAAAATAAACAAACAAGAAAGAAATATCCTACCTTGGTAACATCGCCTTGATTTTTCTCCGATTGTCGAAGTACACATGGACAATTAACATTAATACCAGCTGTACTTAATTCAGCTAATTGAGTAGCATATTTTTCTCTTAATTCTTTTCGTTTTTCATGTCGAGATACGTTTCAATTTTCATCATGTTTATGATGTTGTTCTCCAAAAACTTGTAAAAAATTTTGAGCTTGTTCAACATCACCGCTAAAACGTTCCATAATTTTCAATAAACGAATACGTTTCATTGATTGAGTCGATGGTAATTCTTGTTGTAATGTCGTTACTGCTGCACCAAAACGTGTTTCAAGTGTAGTCCATTTATTAACACGATATTCTCGTTGAACTAGACGTGCACGAATCTGATTAAATTTACAAATTCAAAAAATTAAACAAATACATTTTAACCGAAAATCAAAATTATAATTTTTTTACACTGATATATAAAAATATATCGAGCAACCTCCATTCCCCCGCATTAGAGGTATTAGCGGGCTATAGAATATATATTAAATTGCAAAAAAGTATAATATACCTGATCAACATTATCATTGTGTCGTTGTAAAAGACGAATTATTTTGTCTTTTGATTCTTGTGGGAAACGTTCTTGAAGAACGGGCAATTGCTCATCATATTCTTGTTAATTTGTAGCCATAGTTGTAATTTGTTATGAATAATATGAAATGAAACAAATCACAGAAAAGGGTGTGGGTGTGGGTGTGTGTAGGTGTAGGTGTGGGTGTGTGTGGGTGTGTGGGTGTGTGGGTGTGGGTGTGTGTGGGTGTGAGTGTGGGATGTGGGTGTGTGGGTGTGGGTGTGGGTTTTAAAAATAAGAAATAAATTCACACCCACACCCACAGCCACCCACAACCACCCACACCCACCCACACCCACACCCACACCCACACCCACACACTCACACACACCTACACTCACACCCTCACACCCACACCCTCACACCCACACCCCACACACCCCACACCCACACTCACACCCTTCACTTTATTATCGAATTGTCTTTCGTCTTGATTAACAAATATCTTCTCGACAATCGATTTTAAATGCACTTATTATTGGTTGTATATTTCTTTCATTTACATGTCATTCAGCTTTGTTAGACAGGGATGCCACCTCATCAGGTCAAAAAAGCGAAATTTTCTTTGAGAAAAACGGGAAATAGCGGAAAGAAAATTTCCAAAATTCGGAAAAATTGCAGAAAACTGTTAAAGCACTCTTTGCTACATGTAGTTCTAGTCAAACGTTTCGAATTTCTCACAATAATAAAGGTATTGGATTCGAATTTTTTAAAATACGTGCATCAAAAGCATATTTAACGACACGTATCAGCCCGTTGTCGATTAGCTGCGACTTGATAAAACAAGAAGGTGATGGTGTTGTCGAAGCACACTTTTATTTTAGCTAGCAGCCATTTTCAAATTTTTCTACCAGCTGATGAACTCATAACAAGAGTCTACCAATAAAGAATGCTCTGACTACGCATTCTGCGGATCTGAAGAGAGCAGTCAGGTTTTTTGTGACTTAGTTTTATAGTGAGTATTACAAACACAGATCCAATTTTTTGTCATGCTCACTCAAAACTTATCTGTTTTTTATTCCCTCAAAGCAACGGTAAGATAACGAACGACTTTCATCAACGTTTTAAGATAGGTAGATCAAGCAAATCTTAGTGAAGAATTACCAATTGCGCAGATTCATACTATTATGATACTCTAAAAGCTCATCTATTTTAGGAAGAAGCAGCGCTCAAACTCATCAAACCAGTTTGATGTGAAATTTTTTGGCTATAGAAAGTCGTGTATAGGATTGGAATGACTCTCATTAGGTAACAACAGTGCTTATTCACTCCAATCCGTTGTGCTTGACCTGATCAACAACAAATCAATGTCATGGACTAGCGATTCTTTTGTCTCACAGGCACAACAGTTTTAGCTAAATATCTGATATTAAGCAGCAACTTTCATTCATAGAATCGGAAAATTTGACTAGAAATGTATAACAACATTTTTCTCCGTATGATGCAGCTCACTCTATGCAAACCTAATATATAAGCCGAAATGAAAACAATTTTATTACAAATATTCTGAATGAATTTGTATCAGCCATGTTTTGTAAGAGAAGTTTTTTTTACAGAGCAAAGACGAATTTAAACATATATCTCATTCTGAAACAATCAATACTTTTGACTCAAAGCAAGGTAGTTTCTAAAGATGAGAATTCTAGATATAGCGTTTCGTCATGTGGTTGACTAATCTCCTACGAAAACATATAGAATAGGTGATTTATGGCTATGGTAACCAACTGAAGTGCATGCTTTTTTCTCAAAAAATGTTAGTTAGATGGGATAACTCATTTCATCAAAAATCAGGGGTAAGCTGGAAAAACGAGAAAAAAGGCAAAAAAGCGGAAGAGGTGACAATCCTGTTCTTAGATGAACTTTATTATTTATAATCAAAACAACCTAATTTATTATCTTTAACAAATATGAAAATGTTTTTTCAGGGTTTATGGTCAACAGGAATTAATCAAATATATTCAGTACCAAGAGTTTATCTTTCACAATTATTAATTGTTCATTTAACGAATATGCCAAAATATGTTTCACAAATTATTCAAATTTGTTTTTTAATTAATCTTCGAATACCGAATACACGTGTGAATTTAATGAACGTTATTGAGCCATTATGTGAAACAGAAGGTTTTCAAAAATATTTAGATCAACAACAACATGAATTTAATATGTAAAAATTTTTATGATTAATCTTTAAAAACCGGTTTTTTTTATATATAGGTCTCAACAAAATATATCCATATTGGAACCATTACTTTGTCAAGTTCGTGAACGTATGCAAAGAGTTTAATTGAATAATTTGTCAAACATTTATTTTTATAAATGAATAATAAAATTTGTTTTTTTTTTTTATTTTTTTAAAAACTGTTTAGAGTTCATATGTGATAAATACATGTTCGTCCTCATTTGTTGTCTAGTGATGGACAAATATATATGTTTTAATTCTTTCTCAAAGAATAATTTTATATTCAGAGCTGAAATCATTTGATTCTTGTCATAAAGTGTTTTTTTACATATTTTTTGTGGGATGTGTCTCATTACTAACAAAATTATCTAGGTAGCCGAAAGACAAATAATGTGTATCTCTTAAAAACTTGGTTTTATTCAGCCGTCTATGAGGTAGAAAATGTAGTCTTTCTAAACTAATTGAGTATTTTCTACGATGAAATGTAATGAAAACTCAAGTGACAATCAACTTTTCGTCCATCGTTTCTTCGTTGATTTGGGAACAGTTCGAATTTGATTAAAGACTTTTTTATTCATAAACTGATCATAAATCATTCAAACGTTTTACATTAAGAAAAAAATACAAAGAATGAAAATTGCGCAAAAACAAACTCAAGAAAATATAAGATGTGTACAGGTAATTGTGTGATGTTATTCATCCATGTACATTAAAATATAGTAAATCGAACCAAACAAAAAAAATGAGCAAGTTACACAGAAAAGTTGCTTGAACAGATTGTAACAAGCAGAAAATTAATAACATTCAAGACAAAAATATTGATTGTAACTAGGATTATAACAAGAAATAATAATAATTGAAATATAGAAATGTTCTCTATGGAAAGAATTGTATTACGAAAAACCTTTGAATTTTTTTGAATATCGTTGTTTTTTGTTTGTATCTAAAAAAATGACAATTTACTTGTCAGATTTTCATCAAAAAGTGAAACATTTATGTGGATAATTACCTTCGAGTAGGTCAGCTACAGTTTGTTCGCTAAGATGGTCCATTAAGGCATCGAATTGTTTTTTCTGATCGACTAAATGAGAAAAATACACCTTCTAATAATGCAAGCAATGTGAAACGGTTGTATTACCACCACTAGCGATTGCGTTGCCAATCAAGTGCCGAATTTTTTCCAAATCTAGTTGAACACTTGCTTTTCTGTTAAAGAAAAACGAAAATCACAACAGTTAAACAAAAGAATTTATGAAACAAAATAAGATTTACTTACGTTTTTATTGCACGTAATATATTATTCAGTTTACCACCTTTTAATAGTTCTATTTCAGCTATATCTTTTAAAGCATCTAAAATAGAGATGCGCACTATCATAAAATAATTCTACATGCATTCTGCTTACTAGTCCATTGATATTCATCACAATAAACTTCGGCTCGATCAGATAAATAATTTATCTTTTCGGATGGTTTGCATTGGCCAGCAAGTAAATCAGTGAGCATCTTAATATAAAATTATTTAAAAATAAGACAATAACGACAATACTTACATCTATTTTATCTTCAGCACTAGTTTGTAGTGGCTTAAATACGAGTTGATGTTCACGTTTTTTGGCCGAAGCCATTGGTGTTGATTCTGGTGCGACAACAGTATCTAAAGAAATAAGAATTTTAATTAATGAATGCGCTTGTAAGTGTATATATATATAGGGTGGGGAGTGTTTTGAGCACCAAAAATGGAGTGAAATGAGCACCA